CCTTGAGCCATTCGTTGAATTTCTCTTACTGGCTATTGTTATAGTGGCCTCAGATCAAAGCGATTTCTAGGCTTGGTACAGACGGCGCTGTTGTTTCTCGCAGTGTAATTACCGGACAGTTTCGCTGTTGTACCTGCTGTAAGGTCCGTTATGCTCGTTGATCTGACCCATTGTCTCGATTAGCTTCTATATCTTTACTTGAGGTTTTATGACGAAAAAACGGCTCTGCCGGCTTATAAATATGGAACAGTGGCGGCGGAGACAACCTTGACAGTTGACAAAACTTTGGGGTCTATCAAGTGCGTTATCACCACGTTTTAGATAGTTCGAAAGAATGTAAGTTTACTCATTGTAAATATATCATAGTAACTGTAATAAAAGTGAGTATGTATAAACATACGATAGACGTGGCACGCTCCTTCAGGTTTGTGTAAACTTGTAATAATAAAGTTGTTTAGAACAGTACCAGTAACAGTTTAAAGGCTTTTAGCATATCCGTTAAATGACGAGTCAGCATGGTGTTTGTTTGTGTCGGCAGCAACAAGGCCGCCCTGACAGTCCGCTATACTATACGTGACATGTGCGCCACACCACGCCACCCCGCGCCGCGCCCGCCATCTACGTGCTTAGCTGCTTTTTTGACATTTGAACATTTTAATTCCTGCTTATTATTTGTTTTCTATTTAAGTCGATATGAATAAGAAACCCAAAGAATATAAGATGAGCAAAGTTGCAATATTGAATGCGTAGAATTTCCATTGTGAGATATGGCATTGTAACATTTTATTGTTTAGACATTATTATGGTTTCATCGTGGCATTTAGCCTTTAACTATATTAAATTACAAATATGCCTACGTTAGGTTAGGTTAAAAAAATAAAAAAGTAAAGGATCAAGAATGATTGTTTACATGATTTATAGTTTATCAAACAAATGTATGAAGTGACATGGAGTGATGATAACACATATGTTTATTACAACATGTAAACATAACAAGAATCGTGTAAAATGTAAACATTGCATTATACAACAGCTGTACATATGTATACGAGTGCACTCCAAGCTGTCACATTCTAAATATATTGTTAGGTTGTTGATGAAACTAATCAAATATATAATATATACCTTATATACTTCAACAATAATTAATCTTACTTCTAATATTGTTAATGCGAATGTTTGGATGGATCGATCATGCTGAAATTTAGCTTAGATGTAGAACATAGTGTGGAAGAACACAGGCTTCTAATTAAGTTTTTTTTTAAACCCGCGCGAACGGAGTCGAGCTAGTATAGTCCCACAAAGTATTTTGGCTCGATCGGTCTGTCAGTGACGCTGTTATAGCGATTACTACTATTATTTCTGTCATTTACTGTAGTCTGTTGCTTCAGTTGTTTCTGTTTGATGATACGATGATACAGTAAACTACAAAGTATAAGTCCCTGAGGAAAGTGTAAATAAATATGTAATATAAAATATCAGCAAGGTGGTTCCTTTCGAAGGTGCTAGACTATGCATTTTCGACTTCGAATCGAAACGTGACATTTGAAAATATTCTTGGTATTTTTGAATGCACTTAATTTTTATGATAATTTCGAGTAATGTTCGACTTTTTTGTAATAAAAGAATCGACAATATGTATAAAAGCTTCGCCGTTCATTCATAAACCGTTTGAATGTTGAGCGTCGAAAATAAAAAGTAACGGTAGCCAGAGGTAAATACTGTGTACGATGAATAATGTGGCTCGCAACGTGCCACAGTCGCAGGACTTTCCAAAATGCGGACGGTGCGGACTTCCCGGGGCTACACCGGTGCAGGGGCGCGGGTATACCTGGCGGTGAGTCACCACGTGACGTCACGCCGCAAGCACGCGATGTGGCGTCACAAGTAGTAGTAGTTTGTCTACATCCATTGAACGAGTTTTGAATGGTTGGATGTGAAAATGAATTTAGTTATTGTTGGCTGAGGGAGTAGAGGGGCGGTTTGTTAGTGGGCGTTTGGTAGGAAAGTCCCCCATCCTCAATCACATCAATCTCACCTCACATACATTGTTATATGTTAGTGAGGCAATAATTGACGTCAACGTAAAACCATAGAAATGATATTGATTGCCTTCGACTGAGATGTCAAGGAAGGCCGATTTATTTTATTATGGTTATTTACAACAAGCACGCGCATAACACACAGATATGTTAGAAGAAAAAAACAATAAACATATAAGATGTAAAACTGAAATAAATTAGATACGTGTTTTGTAGAATTATGATTTGACAATTATTGCATTAGATTTAGTATTTGTGCGTCTCGATGAACGTCTTGTACATCTTGTAGATAACTACATTATCCGTGTTCTGTACAGTGAGTGTAAAATAATGTGAAGGGTATTTGATTGTTATGTATGTGTGTTACAACGACACGCTATCTAACTGCGCTTTTTTATCGCGTTTTCCACCAATATAATATACTGTGAAATGTTCTATTAAACCTGCGCCAAGTAAAACTATCTTATTACTTTCTTTCTTCATGCTTTACTTATTCTGTATACTTTTCTCTGTACATTTCTGACTGACTTACCAGCTGAGGCCGCGGGTATATTTTATTATGTGATGACAGCGTGCGTTGGTGCAGTTTTCGTATGCGAACTTCGTTTAGATAAACATGTTGTGTTTGCGTCACGCTACTGTTCTGAACGCAACAATGCGATGTGATTACGACATGGCGACATTAGACCGGTGATGTACCAAGCCGATCTGTAAATAGATGAGCCTAGACGATCCCAGATATTAATAAATCACTTTTCGTATAATTTGTCGTATCGCTATATGCCTAAGGTAAAAAAGATATGTAATAATTTGTATGAATCATATAGACAGACCGGTACCGGCCGGTGTCAAAGTACTGTGACGTTGACATTGAGCATCGAGTGAGGAGGAAGCGCCGCGCACCATCACCAAACGTGAGACGCGACACGCATTGCAATTAGCCTAATATACAGAGTGCACACGACCTGCGCCGTTGGAGATACCTATATATGTACCTTGTCCTTGAATTAATATGCAAAGTGGGTGTAACAATACAATAATGCAATAACCTATTGTTTACATATAGCAAGTCTTGCGCCTCACTTACAAAACAGTGCCATAAAATATGTTATATTTGCTATAAACTGTTCAATGTGGAACCATTACAACAGTGTATTACGAGTCCAGTGGGTTGGTAATATAATAGCGAACATGTAAGTTGGCCAACAATAGTAACCGGTCGCCAAACAGAGCAGCCTGCGCTGACTCAACGACCGGCCCCCGCCACCGCCCAGTTAGATAATCTCTTGGTGTTATATGACACGTGTCGCACAGATACCACTAAAGTTGATTAGCTAAGTTGCGGTGAAAGTTTCGCTTGCAGGCAATCCTACAGGTCAGCGGACGTTAAAGTAAAGATTAATTACTTTGCTATGGATCATCGGGTAGACGAGTTCTTATAAAAAGGCACACCACACAGAATCAAATCAATTTGTTGTATAAAACGAAATGTTTAGCTATGTTTTTACCCTTGCTTGTCATCTTATACTCATTTGACATTGCTCGAGTTGTATGAAAAGCAAAACATATTCATCTTTTTATTTCTTTTTTCACCAACTGTGACGGATGGGAAGCAGGAATTTATTTATTTATTTATTTATTTATTTATGATACACCAACGGTTAAGTTATAAGACATTCAAAAAAACCTTATTACAGAAACAGAAAACACATAATAACTTATCACAATTAAAGGTGTACACATCATGCGAGATTAATGATGAAACAAACAAACAACACAAAAACCTTATACATAAACAAAAAATACTGAAATTTTTTAGAGTGAAAACAACAAAAAATAAAAAAGTTAACAAAGGAAAGAAAGAGGACATGAATTAAATTAATTAGCAACATTACGGATATATTTTTTAAAAG